TTTACGAAAGTAGTTTTTGTGCTTTTATCAAAGTTTAGTATATAAAAAATCATGCTCATCATTTGTGAAGTAGGATTGGTACATTGTGTAAAATCGTAATCTCAGTACAGATAAATAGTTATAACGTCTTAATAGGGAGTCCAAAATGGAATCTTTTGCAGAGTTTCAATAAAAATTCATTCCTTTGGTAAATCAATAATTTGGGATTCCTTTGGATTATTTGAATTTTGACAATTTACAAGAATATTCGAATTTTTACCTTTAATTTTTACAAAAGGAAAATAGTTATACCTTGGAGAAATTGCTACTCAAAACTGATATTTTTTGCAACAAAAGTTAAATTTGCTACTCTCTCACTGAAGGTTTGGTTACATTTAACACTAACAGCAAAACTTGATACAACTTTTCAGTTGAGTGTCTTCGTGTAAAAGCCATTGAAAAAAATATACTGCAATGGAGAATCAGAAAAAGGGCGCGAGGCTGTTTTTCAAGGGGTCATCCGTGTCTGTATACATTCAGTGGCTGCACCAGATGGGGGGGGGGGGAAGGCAATGCAAGGGGGCAAGTGGGGGGGGGGAGAAATATTTTGGGGGGCAGTTAAAATAATATTTGATTTCCAGAAGCTAAGGCGCAACTAATGCATTTTCAGGTGTAAATAAAACAACCACTATCATGACACAGTGACCTATGGTGTGTTATAATATTATGTGTGCACGGAACCAAAAATTTACTCTCTACTTTCAACTATACATGTTGTTCTGATTCTGAACAGTAAAGGAAATAAAGAGAGTTATTTAATCTTCAAGTAGACAAAGTGTGGGGGCAAGAGAAAAACTTGGGTGTGTGTGGGGGGGGGGGGAATCCCCCTTGATTCCAGCCCTCCCTCCCCCCCCCCCATGATACATGGCATGAGGGCACACAGCTGCAGGTGTAGATGTCCTAAGTCTGGGGTCTTGCATATTTTTCCCTAGATGTGTCACCTGTTTAAAATAGGTTTTCTAGTTTTGAGATTAGGGTGTTGTTTGGCATGAAATAATAATTGCATGTTATTAACCTATATAAGGAAAGAGCTTTTGAATCGTATACGTACAAGTTGTACATTATACAATAAAAGGTGGAATCAACTTTCTTTGAGATAAAGAAGGAAAACACTTGGAATCATTGAAATTTCATACATGTATGGGCCTCGGAGAAGTATGTACATGTACGACGACATGTCTGTGAGTTGAATAGTTTTGACTGCTTATGAAAACCCACTCATTTCACCCCTGGGGTTGTTTCGGTTGTGTCCATACTAGGGGAATGACCTAAGCCCCACGAATAACATCCCATGTGGAAAAGTTCAACCACATCAGGTAATAGCGAAGAATTGAGGGAAAGTGATACAATGTAATCTATCGGAACAGATGTTGAAGATGTCTGTTTAGACCCAGATTCTGGTAATCTGGAAAGGTCAGGTGCGCGTTATTAAATTTGGGCGTTGCCAGTAGCGCTGGTCTGATATGAATATTGACTCCCTGCAGGGGAAGACTGGTATTCCCTTTGCCATGTAGGTCAACAAAGGTCAAATATAGTTTAATATCTACAATCTACATGTAGATATTTTGTGGTTCTGTCCAAAGGGCATTATCTATGTATGCGGATGGACAGGAATACATATTAAAAATGTACAACATTCTGCAGATATCCATGCTTTTGGAATATTCACATACATTGTACTTCCTTTGACATTCCTATCTAGTCTTTTTGTTATTATTTGTTGTTACGAATATGCATTTGTATTTCCATATTCACCATTTTTAATATCATTTTTGACTTTAGACTGAAAAGGGGTTATAGTTTTAAGCTATTGCACCTGGAAAAATGTGGGACCATGTTGAGGACACGTACATGTACCGGTACATGTAGGCCTACACATACCGGTATGCTGATTGGGGGGGGGAGGTGTCTTTTTTTTTTAAATTGAACATTAATGATAATGTTTTCCAACCACGCTGTAAATGAAAAAGACAAGAAACTCTGGGATTTTATAAAAATGTAACAAAACCTGTTACGTTGCATATATCAAAGAAGATGGAGATTCTGAGATTGCTCTGGGGATAAGGAGGTCTTTGAGCTATTGTCTAATTGGTAACCCTGGGCCAATACCTCTGTCTGCAAATGGTGATTTATAGGTTCCTCATATTTTAAAGAAAACTAATCATTGCTACTAATTAACCTTGTATTGTATGTTTGTTCTGAGAGGCCTGCAGTCTCTAGGATGTCTAGTACATGTATATCGGTCAGTCATGGGTGCAAGTGCTTCAACGCCTTTCAGTGAATTTAACTTAGTTGTGAAATGTTTTCACGAACACACTTAGACATTTTCTCAGAACACCTACTTTGAGAGCTAGGCCTATAAATAGAACGGTCATGGCACATGCCAAACAATTCAATCTCACAAACTGCAAAGTAGTTATATGTACTTGTCTTGTAATATCCTGTCTATGTTACATGTGTACATTCAGCTAATATTAAGCCTGTAGCTACAGACACTTCAAAGGTACATTTAATTAGGTCATCTACATGAGTAAAAAATGCAGATTTTTCATCTACGGTTTTCTTTTTGCAGTCCGATCAACTCTACTTTAAAGCCCCAAGAGTATGAGAACAATAGAATTAAAAAGGAATTCCTTAGTGAAGAGTAGTCCATGTATAACACTTATCTCTCAACATAGCACCCTTGAAGTTGTTGGTTTCTTGTTTCGTTGTGCAGCTTCTAGACAGGTAGGCCTACCGGTACTTAACAGCAGTGAATGTGCAACGCCTTTTGTGAAATTCTGCACCCTCTTTGTTTTTAGGCAATTAGTGCATATATTACGTTTAAATCACTTTGCAATACTTATTTTTGACTCTTGCATTTTGAAAGCAAAATTTGTTCAGTGTTCATGGGGCAAAAAGTCAGTTGGTGAGATTCAAGTTTGTTCCTAGTGTAGACATTGCTACTTTGTTGCATATTTTTAAAATTCTGATGTACATGTATGTCATGGAACATCCTGAATATACCCAAGTAAACGTGACATTTTTTATTTTTTAATTTGGCAGCCCGATTTGGGCCATTGTATCCATTATACATGTACTAGGGTACCTATATGTATTAATGAACCAAAAACTTCCATCAGTGTATGGACTAGGGGATGCTTTTTTGACACTCACTAAATCTGTCACTCACTTCATTTGTAACGATGAATTTCATTGAGAGGAAGACATTTTCAGCCTGAGGACTAGCCTTTAATGTTCAGCATGCTTGTCAAGATGCCAAAGATATTCTGCGATATATTATTGCCAGATGGATTAGTGAAGTGTTTGATCATTACATTTGCTGACCATTCCCAAGTGGTCTGTGTTATATGTACATGTTGAAAGATATTAACTTGCAATGCTCACTGTGTGAATTGTGTCCATTCTGTTTATGAATCATATCCACATTCTGATGAAACTTCAACTATGCATTCTTTTCTTTTCTTTTTCTTTTCTTTTCTTTTTCTTTTTTGGATTGGAAATTTGAAGTGTCAATGTCTGTGTCAATTTTTATAAACTTTGGGAGAAAATGTTTAAGAAAATTGAATGGTTTGACATTAATAGTTTGTGTGTGTGGATATAAGACCACAACAGACTGAAACAAATTTGATGTTCTTGATCTTCCACAGACGGAACCAATTACAGTTTCAGTAGGAAATCACATTGAAGAAAGCCCAACCGCTATCACACAATTGATCATACAGAAGTGATCCCCTGAAATATATAGATATGGTCATGTACATACACCAATGCAAACACCGGAAATCAAGTAGGTACAATTTTGAAGTGCAGAGCGATATGAATACTGAACCATCTGGAAGAAATAAAGTTGGCAGCTTCAAAGGAAATTTATTGGTCTTGCTGCATTAAACATTTCAGAAGGAATTGCAATAATGCATGAACCAGACCACCAGGCTCATTATAATGTCCCACAGGTACCCAGATTTTCAGGAACACTTCTTCACAGAGGTCCAACAAATACATTTACCATTTAGAGAAATAGTTCACTTCTAGATTCTCAATGACTCCCAAAAGTAATGAACTGTTTCTGAAACCATGACACACTCCAGCACTGTTATACTTTACCTTTGTAACACTGTGTCAAAAAAAAACCGAGAAATAAAAAGGAAGGTTAGAAAATTCATTTCAGAAACAAAATTTGGGGAAATTTTGTCAGAGTGTTGAACAATTTCTGAGTGTTTCTTAGCTAATATTAATGGTGCCAATAATCCGGTCAAAGCTCAGCAAATCATTATTTTTTTCAGCAGGTTCTACTGAACTAATACAGTCAGTATGCACAATATGTGGAACAACCTACATTTAAAAGAATTGTGTTTTTCAAAAAAAAGTCAAATGGGTTTCCAGGAAAAAAAGATATGTAGGCCGTGTCCATTCAAGTAACATTTCAACAATTACATGTAGTTTTCAACATTACCGATAATTTTTATACCTTATAGTGTCTTTCTCAAATGGCTAAATAAAAAGATGTGAATTATGACTTCTTGGTTTTTTAGATGTATTGTGATTTGTTTATTGCTTGGGAAAAAAGATGATCAGTTCAGTAACATGGTTTATGGCATTCATGTACTGTATTACACCTGAATCAGACTGGCGTTCTAGAGTGGAAATTGTGGAACCAAACCAAATCGTATCAGGAGTGATTCAGGTTGACCCAAATAATAGGTTTGTGTTTGGACAAACTTCTGTGTTCATTTTTTATTGACTAATCTCTGGAGTCATTCGGAATGACCACAACTACAGCCACTCCTAACTGTTTCAAATGTCAAATTTTCATGTATTTATAAGTAAAATCTTCTGAATAAATTGGTTTGGCATGATCTGGAAGGCCTGTCTAAGGTGAATGTAACATGTAATGGTTATTGAATCCTGTGATAAAGCATGAGCCTAATGAAGCCTGTATGTATTGATTCTGGTTACAGGTATGATCTTGGGGGAACAGCTCCAGGGATCATCACCAGCGCTGTGACAGTGTCATTGGGAAAATGGCACACAGTAACAATCAACAGGGACAACTGGGATGGCTGGATACAGGTGGACCAGGAGAAACCTGTCAAGGGAAAATCCAAGGTTTGTTGACCTGCTGAAGGAACAAACTATTGTTTGCATACACCATGTTATACTTCACATGTGCAAACGGTGTGAAGTGCACGTAACTTTGTCAGAATGTTCTCAGACTCATTGTGTCTGCATTGTGACAATGTTTGCATACTGAGGCCACAGTTTCACTCTCATCTTTAGGTGACATGATCTGATAGTGGCTGTAACTGCTGCCACTGATAATGCCCAATGATAAAGATACACAGAACAGCGAGGAAACTAATTCTGTTTTCTTCAAAATTGCTCTTTTATCATGCATTGCTGGATGTCTATAGCACAAGAGAATGAAGGTAAACATTTGTGCTGTGTTCGATGGGTAGAGGTAGAGTACTGTACATGTTCAGTTCTTGTTACTTTCCTAGCAGTAAACTAGAACATTTGCCTTGTCAGTATGCCTGATGACAGTATGACTGATGACCACATTCCTATGTGATGCAAACTGGGAAAACCCTGAACATGGTGAAAAATGACCGGATCCCACAAGAAGCTTTGTCATTTTAAAGCCTCCACTGCAGCGTTTCTAGACTTGTTCCAAATTGCTGATATGAACTTCACATCAAAAAGTTGAACATACAATGTACATGTACACAAATTGAAGAAAATTATCAATAACTACATGTACATGTAAGTTGTCCAAAAACATAATTGGTTAAATCAATAAAAAAAAAAATAGAACCGAAATGCTGTTAACAATATGAAATATTACTCAAAAAACAAACTTAAGTGACAAATGGCGAAACAATTTGACAACATATTTTCCATATAATTTATACTTCAGAGTTTTTGACAGGTACCGGTGTAGCGTGAATTTACGTTTCTTTGAAATTCGGACTCATTGGTAATACCGCGCATGCGTAAGTATGGTAATTAGGAAAGTGACCGGTCACGTGAGAGGGATTAACCAATAATAGGGAAAAGGGGTCCGATTTTCATAGGAGTGGGATTTTCATGTGACACTGGTACCAATACTGTTGTTACATGAACCGGTACGTGTAGACCTATGTCTTTAACATATACATGTAGCTCTATACTTGTAGCTTAATTGATCATGTATTGTGTCTTGAGTTGCTCATTGTAGCTGTGTTGTGGAAGTGTATGCAGTAACAAAGATACATGTATACTAATGTATATATCTTTCTATGTTAATGTACATGCATGAGCCATATAACATGTTCATTTGTCCAACCCCACCCTTACAAATGTAACTCTCTACTGTCTTAGTGGATCCCACCAGACTGTACATGTATGTTCTAAGTACATGTACTTGCCATTAAACATCTACAGTACAGGTGACAATTTGTGAAGCGTCCTGGTCATTAAGTCCCTGCAGCAAAAACAGCTAAGGATATGATGCACAGCTGATATAATGCATGAAGATGAGGAAGGAGTTTCTATCCAACAGCAGTCTATGATCACAACTATGTTAATGAAGTTACGGCTTATAAAGTGAAGACATGTTTGTGAAGCCTTGTGATAGGCATAATTTTTAAGTTTTAACAATAAAACATGTTACATGAAACGTCGTGCAGTATAGTTAAATTTTCAATAGGCCTAGAGCAGTTTGCATCTGAATGTAATGTGTTTGTTTGTTTGTAGGGACTATACTCCAAGCTAACCCTTCGCAGTCCCCTTTACCTTGGCGGCCACAGTAACTACACAGCAATCAGCCAAACTAGCATCAGTACTGGCTTCTCAGGCTGCGTAGAGAGACTAGTCATCAACAATGTAGACAGTGACATGAGACTGGAGCCAAGAGGCTTTGCGGTGGGTGGTGTGGATGTGGGTAAGTCATTGGTCATAGCCAGCCCCGAATACACCCTAACAACATTCCCCCTCCCCCACCCCCACCCCCCCCCCCCCACTTCAGTTTCTAATAGGCACTTCCCGTGACATTATTAAGCCATTTTACATTGTTATCAAGCAAAAATATAACAGTTTTCACACTGGCTTCAAATTTATGATGTGATTAGGGTTACGTACGAACAGGGACAGACATTTTGTGACAAGTGTCCAGTCTGTTCGTACGTATAAATCCTGATTATAAAATATCAAATAATTCTTCACACTGACTATGAGTATAAGCATTCCTCCAGGGTACATCTTCTTAAATAAGTCAACATTAGGGGATCATTAAACTTTATGCTTACTACTTTGTGACTTTATCTAAAATGTCTGTCCTTCGTTACGTACGTAACACTTTTTAAATCAATATTCACTATTTTTTCTAAAATACAAAACCAGTTGTATCATTTGCAGGTGAGGACATTTGTTCGAAGCTTGCAATGTTTACAGCAAAAATTGAGAGACCAAGATCGTAGTTTTATCATCAAAACTTAAAGGTCTTCTCAAATGTCACACTTTTGGGCCCATTAGTGTGGAATTGCCCACATGTAAATCAAATAGTTAGAGAGGCCTGATATATTTCGTCTTGAGCAAAGACTTCTTCAGAGGCAAATGACACATGGCAAGAAACAAACATGGGGACATGCACACAGGCAGGGTTGGAAGGAGAAACACAAAGGAGGGATGGGGGGGGGGAAGGTGTGCAGTGGATGAAAGGAGATTAGGGAACAAAGGAGTGTGGTGGGAGTGGGCTCGGGGGGGGGGGGAGGGAAAGGTATACATGTACTTAGCATCATTCATATTGTCTGAATTTTGGATTATTAATTTTCTGTTAAAATCTGATATTTCTGATAAGCACCAAAACTTCCTCTCCGCTTTATTGGCAGGTGAGTTTACACTAGTCTGAACACAGACTCAAAGTGGCGGATTATTGTGGACAGGCATTTAAAGTCTGATACTGGCCAGCAGAATGAGTGTCGGATTGGCTCATGCTGTAGGGGTCAATGTAATTTGAATATTTATGCACATACCTATAGGATGCTGCATTAAACGTAGTGCATGAGTGTGCAGGAGAAGTAGGCTAATCAAACTATAGGGGAGATGGTACAGCCAAGACGCATAGCAACCAATAAGGTAGCAGAAGCACAAGGCCTGTCTTCATATATGGACATGTGTGTTATGAAGTCAGGTGTACCAGTCTAAGGTTACACATGGGTACATACACATAACAAAAATAATGCGTACACTCCATTCATGATGATATTGACATTTCAAATTTTTGAGGAGAATAATAAAGAATGTTACTACATGTACATACATGTTTGTACATGTATTCATGAGGTTTTTATTTTTTTTATAAGAAGTACATGGACCTTCTTACACAAAGAGGAAGGTACATTTAATCAAAATCAGTCAACTATGGCACCACTAAAAACGGGAACATGATTGAAGAAAAATGAAGTAGTTGCAAAGTTGCCAATAAAATATTGCCAGGAATTACATGTATCTGTGAAGGAGCTTGTAGAGGTCGGTCTATAGGATGACTTGCTCATTCAGTGGGTGCTGGCATCGTATCACTGCCTAGCCAGGTGAAGGTTTGTTACTGATGCTGCAACATGATCCCACTGCAATAAAAGTTGCACTAAACCTGACATTTATGAGGAAAATTGATAGGCTACAGAAACTGGCTGACTGTATCATTGCTACTCCCCGGCAATGAACACAACGCATTCCTGATTGAAATTAATGTGATTGAAGTTTTTTATCCATGCTTGAAAGGGCAAAGGCCATTAAATTAACCACAAAATGAAGAATGTTTCAAGTGAAGTCAGTTTGATAGCATAATACTTGTATTGTTGAGGCACATACTGGTATATCGAAGAAATAATCAGCATCTAGAGACGGAAACTTTCAAAAGAAAGCAGGAACCATTTTTCTTCTTTTGTATTCACTGGAGTGTCTTTGGTATTGTGGGTAGAGTTCTATGGATTACAGAATAACCCTGAGCTTTTCTTGCAGTGGTACATTAAGTCCCCGTGCTACTTTCAACTTTCATTCCAAATAAATAGACTCTTTTTCTAAATTGGTATTTTTCTAGCAGTGCAAAAGTTATTCACTTTTGAATGAGACATCGACCAAAAAAAATTGGCCACTGTTTAGTTATTGAATTACTACAGTACTTAACAATTTTGAATTATTATTATTAGCTTATTGAGGCAGTGCACGTACATCTTCCATTTCTCATTATTGCTTAAAAACTAGTGGAAAAACCCAGTGTACACCAATGCAGAAAAGAGCCCTGTATGTAATGTACGTAATTAGTGTTGTCACCCTCATACTTGTGGCCACTAATGAATAATATTTGATTGTCTGAAAGCAGTTGGACCTTGTAATAGGTGGCAAGTGCAATCATGTTTGATTAACAGAATTTAATAAAGGGAATATGGCTGCTCCATGACAGAGGCATGCCGCTGGGGGTGGGAATAGTGCAATCATGCCATCCCCTGCAGCAGATGTTTGCTCAACTTGGAAGGGGTCTGCGTAGATACCTGACAATTTTAATAAAGCCAAGTTGACACCCATGGTTATTGCAGTTGTGTCTAGAATTGACCAGTTTGATGAAAGGTGTCTCAGATGTGTACACTCTCACACTTTTGGGAAACAGTACAGGTAGAAGACAAAAATCAATTATCTGTGTGCATACATGTATAGTTATGGATTTCATTTAATGTAGTAACTGTAAGAGTGTGTGTCAAAATTGCGATGGCAAGAGTTTTTTTATTAATATCTGAGCCACTTCAATTGAATTGTGTCTATAGGTAAGAAATTGGGGTTACTTCTTTCAGTGTGTGTCTTTGTTCACATACACATTCTGGTTTTACTAGACTACCGAGGATCAGTACTTTCCCTTTGGTCAGTTCTACATACCGGTAGAAGTGGACATGGCGGAAAAGCGGAAATCTGTAAAAACTCTTTAAAACTACAAGCATCACAGCCTCAAACGTGGTACAGGTATCAAAGTATAGGGGCCAACAAGACCTTTCATTTGAGTGGTGTCCCAGTGAGTTGGAATGAAGTTAAGTGTGTTTTTTGTTAACAAAAAAAACCACAACTGATTGTTGGCTAAAACTATAAATTTTCAGCAGTCATTTTGGCACCTTGTTTTAACATGCAAAAAAACAAGTGTTATTTTTAAGTTTTTGTTTTTAAGGCAGAGATACTTGAAGGTTCATGTTTTATGCCACAAAAACGTTTTGTTTGATTATTAGTTTCTGATATGTTTTTAACTTGTACCAAATATGGGCGGACAAACTGTAACTAAATGTAACGTACCCGGTAATTAACCAAGATGTTATGGCAGTGCTTTAGACTGATGAGAGAAATTGAGAAATGTTGTATGTCAAAACATTTGTCAGTAAGTAAGCAATTACAGAAATACTATGATTTGTTTCACTGTATCCCATTTAAGGAAACGTTTTGTGTAAAGACATGCATTTTTTTATCCATGTCCTTTTTGTAACATAACTAACCAAGATTACATGTACATGTTCCCATCAACTCAGAAAACAAGTCTAACTGATATAGCTTAGGCCTATGGCTGTGTTGTAAATCCTGGTAAGATGTATTGATGGTACCATAATGGAGAATTGATAGCCACACATGTTGATGTTGGAGCCCAAACAGTGGTGCTACATTGCTTAAAATGTAACAAAACTAACCATGGAATTGCCCCTTTTATGTTCCTACTGTTTGGTGTTTATCTTTTCCTTGACATGTCCCATAAGGTTTGTACACATGAATTACTGAGGACGTAGTCATTGTTATCTCAGGTAACCCTTTGTACCACTTACTCAGTCATAAGGGATAACCTGTAAGATTAATGATTGTGCTTAACATCAGATTCATACTTCATAGAATACACCTAACGTGTAAAAACCACGGATGCCTGTGGAAAAGTTGACTTTGTTGTTATTTTCATTTGTATCTGTGTATAGGTGAATGTAGCAGTGGACTATGTGATGAAGGCATGTGTAGCAATGGTGGTTCCTGTGTGGCCCAGTCAGCTAGTCGCTACCTGTGCCTTTGCCCATTAGGCACGGCTGGACCTACTTGTGAAAAGGGTAAATAATCCAATCACAACCAGGGCCTGCTGCAGCTGATGTGGTTAGGCCATTGATCAATTTATCCACATTCAAATTGAATTTGGAGCCATAATCTGTTGACTCATGCAGACTAACATGCATTAAGAGTGCATTACACTTAGCATGGGTAGCAGTGTCATTAGGGCAGAGCAGTTGCATGTATTCTGAGAATGAAAACCTTTCTTTTAATTTGTTATTTTTGTTTAGAAAAAGTCTCCATAGCATGAATATATTCCTTATTTATATTCTTAAATACTCTATTCTTATAACATTTGATCGAAAAGTTTTCCCCCTCCCCCATACCCAAAAGCAAAAGAGTAAAACATTAATTGTAGTGCCTTCTACATTTTGATTCACTTTGGTGGTTTGATAGATAATGAAACAAAGTAACATATCAACTTTTATAGCGTGTGACTGTAACTTGAAAAGAAAATGTATGCACAAATTCTCCTTTATACCCCAAATAGTAAAAATGCCAGATCCAGCAATGGTTAAAATTCAAGCCCCGATAAAATAAAGTGAAGAAATCCTACCATTTAAAGAATATTGCAAACATAAAGAAAGAAGTTAAATCTTCATGGTTATGAATGACATAGAAATTTAGTCAGATATACAGAAGAATGGCTTACTTGAACAATTGTGACTTGTCCAAAATACTTGTGGTAGATTTGATTTATTGAACCAATATTCTGTCGCCAGCAGCCACACCAAACCAGTTTGATTTTCTGCCAAGATCCAAAGCCTGGTCAAGTTTCTCTGTTGTTGATCCCAATTCTTGTCTTTTTTTATCCACATACGTATTTTTTGTCCATCTACTTATCAACTCTCTCTCTCTCTCTTGCTTTGTATTGTTGCCCCCTAGATGTCCTTCTCCATATCCCATCCTTCAATGGCTCTTCCCATCTAGTCCATCAGAGTCTGGGCAAGAACCACCTATCCTTCCTTGAGATTGAAGTGATCTTCCGGCCCCATCAACCCACAGGAATGCTCCTTTACAGCGGCCAAAAGTTTGAAAGAGCAGGAGATTTTGTCTCACTGGGCATGTCTGAAGGACACGTTGAGTTCCGATTTGATTGTGGTTCAGGACCCGCTGTGTTAAGGTTTGTTGAAATATGTACATCTCAAGTACAGTTTCAAAATGACAATGAAATCATATCTAAGCTGTCTTGGTTCTGATAGAGGCAAACCAATACAGACAGGCAGAATAAGTCTGAGTCATTAGTGCTAGTACTGTCCATTTTTATTGCTAATTTCTTTATAGTCAACACAATAAAGATGTTGTGTTTTGTAGAAGTCAGACTCGCAGACTGTATCCTGTAAGATGTATTTTTTTGTCAAGAGATGAAAATATAATTTGTAGGTTTTGCCCTTCACCAACATAATTTTTATAAACACTTAATACTCGATGCTGTCTGAGAGCTTGTGAGAATAAAGTCACAAACATGGTCAAATGGGACTGAACTCACATCCCCTGGCTGACCAGCTCAGATATCTGAACCACTCAGTCACAAACATGGTCAAATGGGACTGAAACCCACATCCTCTGGCTGACCAGCTCAGATATCTGAACCACTCAGTCACAAACATGGTCAAATGGGACTGAAACCCACATCCCCTGGCTGACCAGCTCAGATATCTGAACCACTCAGTCACCAAACATGACGGGGTTGGCTTCTTATATGTAATAGGGGTTATCACATTCAATGGCCAAAAAATCCAATATCTACATTAACATTTCCCGTTGCTAATTTCCATCATATAAAATATTGATTACGTAGAAAGTCTTTGGAATTCAAAAACTGATTTGACAATATTTTATTGAAAAACTGAATGATTCCTGTCGTTTGGTCCAGTCACATAAAGAGGATTCCCTGGGCTTGTATAACTAGAAATATAAAAGGAAATGCATTGAATACATCTTCCAATACAGAACAACAGAGCCGGTGTCCCTAAATGAGTGGCACATTGCCATTGCATCACGCACTGCCCGCGATGGTACCCTGCAAGTGGACAAACGACGTGTCCTGAGTGGAATGGCAGAGGGCGCTTTTACCCAATTGACCTTTGCTGGTGACCTATACATTGGTGGTGTGGATGATGCCTCACATGTATCCAAAAAGGCGGAAATGTCAACCTCATTTGTTGGCGATATTCAAAAGGTTTGTACCTACGGTATGTCCGGTGATTAGGTTTTTTACAATCTGTTTGGCTGATAGGTTAGAGGCATTTCAATATGTTTTGTCCACTTTGGTTGTAGATTTTAATGAACTTGGGCCAGTATGTTTGAAAAAGATTCGAGTACAAAATGTTTTAGCGGCAGAGGCCACAGAATTATGCCTTGCCACAGTGGTAAGTGGGCTTTCATATGTGTGTGCTGCAGAAGTCATATTGCCAACTTTGTGAACGTAAACATTTGTCAAATGAACATAGTTGCAAAATGATCCAATATCTATCTTCCTTTGAAATCTTTATTTCTGTAAGTTAATTAACAAAACTTGATCTTCTTTTCCTGTGTGTGTAGAGTTTGCTTTCATACATTTATTTCATGGATTTGATGGTTACCTCTGTGCTGGCCCGCCCTTCATGAAATACATTTGTTTCTAGTTTGAATGCTGTACATTTTCTTGACATTTGGGCATATTCAAAACCCCTTTCTCGTGTTGATTGAACACGAGAACAGGGTTTCAAATGACAAGAAACTAAACGCGAGCAGTGTTCTCGAACAGGATTTTCACTCCGTACTTACTGGGGAGTAGACAAAGAACCTCAAGAACAATGCCGACAGACTTACTGCAACATGTTGATTTTTTGTTCATAAAATTGAAACCACTATTTAAATGCAGAAGCAGTGATAATATAAACTAAACTTGTACCTGAGCATAGATGATGCTTATTGTTGCCTTGTTATTACATACATGTAAGACGCACCATGTGTGGGTGACACGGTGGGCAGGCCGTCAACGCATTATGGGAACATTTTTTTATTGTTAGGCAAATTAGGACCGAGTTATGGGGACTTTCTGCTGTCCCCACAGCATCTTCCGTTCCCATAGTACCATGGGACAACTCATGTGTAGTCCCCACAACTACGGAACAAGTATACATGGGTGTACATGTACGTGTACAATGCATGCATGACCAGATTTCTTCTTAATGTGTACAATGAGAGTGGCCGTATGGCAGCAATGGCATTCAAGTGTCCATCATCTTCCTCTCTCCCTTACACCATTGAAGGGGTGCATGTGTATGGAGTCCATAGTGTCCTTGACTGTGATTCCTGTGACAGCCAACATCCTGCCTAAACACATAACATACCATGTATGTCCTATGACAACAGATTCAAGTGCACAGGATTTCCTGTCTAGCAACCTCAAGTTAGAGAGAATGACACTTAAAATTTCTTTAGTGAAAGGGACTATCAACCTATGACTCTGAAATGCACGTTCAGTCATTCTTTCTTGTAATGTTCTTGTAATATAGGTATATTAGGCATGTCTAAGATAGTTTATGAGAATTGAAGCCCACACCATAGATGTTGATGTCTGTAGTATAGGCTGATTGCATAGCTGCAGAAGTGAAATGAAATAGAGGAAATCCAATCTATCAACATTGTGTGGCCTGTGCATGGTCTGGTACTACACTCTCCTCAATACGTTTCTTCTTTTTTTTTACCCCAGGTGTATATTCTACATTCTGTATTTTCCTCTTCAAGAACAACTCAATAATGTCTGTTGGTATCTGTGTGTTGATAATTCACATAATGTCAGATACTGAAGAGCTGAAACAAGTAGTAATGTTGAAGATTTCTTTGCACCTTCAGGTAATCATTAATGATAAACCACTAGACCTGATTGATGATGCTATCCGTGGAGCTAATGTCATGAATGCAGACCATCCATGTGTAGATCAACCTTGTCAAAACAGGGGAGAGTGTGCCGCTCAACATGCCACGTATTCCTGCCAGTGTCCGCTCTGGTATCAGGGCATCAATTGTGAAGAGGGTAAATATACATTGTAACATACTTGTATTTGGAATGTTTTGGACTCAGATGTGATGGACATGACAATAACACTGCTATGAAAGCATATAGATTAGCATAGCCTTGTGCATCAGTGCAGACATGCATACTGTGTGCTTACTTGCACAGAGATCATTTTATTACACCTGCTTTAACCAGTAACATGATATGTGGTGATTAACATTAGCACAATTATCTGCACAAGTTTTATGCTTACTGTTGAAATTGGCCCCACGTGTATAATAAAACTACCAATACAACTTAGGCTAATTTTTGTTCAAACGTATTGATTGTTGTCCCCCTTTTATGATGTTGCAGACATAGAGGGAATTGTGGAAGTGCCTTCATTCCAAGGAAGTAGCTACCTCAGATTCACCAGTGACTGGGTCTTAAAAAGGTGGGTCTATTCCCCTCCACTTGGTTCGTAGTCATTGTCTTGAATGTCATGGAGCAAGTTGTGCATTGATAAGATTTTAACATTAACAGCAATGAAAGTTTTCCGATTTTCATCAGAAATTCAACTTTTTCAAATTTGTTTCCCAAATTCCGCTTTTTCTAACGATCTTTCCCTGCAAAATCTGATTTTTTTAAATAAAATTTAAAGAGAAATTGATGAAAACGGCACCGCGTTATCGCAATTTTAATCTGTTCTACCAGTTGTCAGTGCACAGATTGTACGGTAGAAGCACACACGTAAGGCTGGATTGGAGTAGTTTACTGCTGGAATATGTTTAAGCATAAGCCTACCGTATCATACGATTGAAACTAGGCACAGAGCTTAGAGGCTGCTGCACGTGGACCATGACTGACAGTCTGACAGTAAAATAAACATGTTGCGCAATGTTGTTGTACAAAATGCAATGCTTTAAAAATCATGATGATCATCTTCAGGATTGCGAAGAGAGCATAAAAGTGAAGTGAAAAGTGGATTCCCCTGTATTTTTTACCGAACAGTTGTCATCATGTTTTGTATTCTCTTTTTGTACAGAGTTGGGGGACAGGATGATAATATTCAACTGGAGTTCCGGACATGGAGCTCAGATGGTCTGATATTGTGGATGGGACGTGACGTCATGAAGTCTACTAGTGATTTCATGGCGTTGGGACTGGATAATGGAATGTTGAAGTGGAGGTTGGTATGGATTGTTGATGCATGACAACTCTACTGTCTTCTGTGGTGTTAGATTGAGGTTGTTGTATGCATGCATTACAGTGACTATGAACTGATAGTCAGTAATGAGAGATAGATTCAGCATTCCCAGCATTGTATTCAACCACATCAATGACAATTTTCTCCAACTCTGGGTGAGATTGAATGTGCAAAATATGATATGTAACAATGCTGCATGCATTGTTTAGTATTTGTTGTCACAAGCCATATATCCCAATGGGAAGCTAAAACTCAATAAAAAATGCCCAAGTAATTTGACAGCCTTGGTTAACCTCACCATTTCACACAGGTGGTAACTTATTGACATGTGCTTTGCATGTTTTGCCTATGTTGTCTACTTTTTTGTTTTCTAACCCACAGCTATAACTTGGGTGGGGGTCCTGTATCCATCCTTACAAATCAGACATTTAATGATGGTGAGTGGCACACAGTATCCATGCAACGTCAAGGTGCATCAGGAACATTGATGATAGACCAACGAGAGGGGCTAATGGCCACAGCGCCTGGACCAATGAAAAGTCTGGATATCAATAATGGACTCTATCTGGGTAAGGAACACTTATCAGACTGTCAGTACACTTAACAATTTGGGAAATTACATGTTGTAATTTTTGTAAGCCAAGTTAGGAATGTGAACATGTATTTATTTTTATAGAAAATATATTTGCAAATTGAGAACTTTGAATTGAAGTGGTTCTGTCAAAATGCTCTGTTTATTGGTGTGGCTCTGGTGTGTGCTAAGACTTATCACAATTTACAATTTCCAAAATGGATTGTCAACACTCATGGTAAATTTTTACAAAAGAAAATCTAATATGAACCTGTTTTAACAAGTTTAGCAAGGTTTATATAGCAGGATCCAAGTAACAATAGCAAGGCTGCGTTGACTGGACACCTTCAATGAGCAAGAAAGGGAGTCTAGACACACAGTCTGATACAGATATATTGCCAAGAAAATACTTGGTGGTACAAATACTTGTGTGCCTGCCCATAACCAAAAGCCCAAAGTGTACTTCATTCACATGGTATAGATATGAAGGCTTGGTCATTAAGACTTTGCACACATTGTCAGACTCAGAAGAAAAGACCTCCCCCAGTTATATGGAATTGGTCTGGTGTTCATTGCTATTTGTTGAATTCTTATACCCTGACCTACTGTGTCTTGTTGCAGGTGGCATGAAGGATGTCGCTGAGCTTTCTTTCAAGCGTTACACCATTGGCTTTCTTGGATGCATACGCAATGTAATGCTAGAGGGTGACAAACTAGACCTATATCAAGATCCATCAGAAGGTAGAAATGTCAATCATTGTGCTTAGATGGGAAAGCCCTTCAGGCTCTGCTCTTCAAGTTTGTCCTCGTTGATGCTTTTTTGGGGGGGCTGTCTTGTCTTGTTTTTAAATTTTTACATTTTTTATGTGTGTTAACTTTTTGATGTCATTGTAACAAACGAAGGCACATTTTAAGAATTATTGCCTCTAAAAATAATATAGTGGTGCAAATGTTATTCAAATCTGATCAAGGATTGTATGTAATTATATGAACATTGTACGTGCAAGTAAGTAGTCAACAATACCAGCTTTGCTGTACTGTATCACATAGCTTTTCCCCTTTTTACCCATAGATATTGTAATCATGTAGGCATTTTTCTGCTAGCCTGTTATACACTATGCATCATTGTGTGCACAAAAAATAGTTTTCCCTCTTTTTGTGTACTGTAAAAAAAAAAGTGGCTAGTACTATTTTTATACATAGAGTAAATCTTAAGTTTGCAGTTTTTATGTGAACTCCCTTTCACTTTTTTGTACATTACTGTAGTTTCTAAGTGTTTGGTTCATGAACTCTAAGTTTCTAAAGATAAATTTAAAGTTTGACATTTTTGGTTGTAGGGGATCTAACAACCTAACATGTCATTAATTATCATAGTTTAATCTCAACAATGACGTACCAATTGATGAAGATGATTCTGTATCAAAATCAATAATCAGAAATAAGTCAAGAAATCACTTTCAATTGGTATACATGTATTTGACTGGAAGGAATGTGAACATAATATATTGGCTGTTTGAAATGATCAGGTCATTTGATTACAATTATGTTGAGATTTGAACAGAATGATGTTTCACTGAATTCTCAGAACTTGGTTCAGAAGTTAATGGTCAGTCTTAATAATGTAAGTAAAAGTGTCTTCACTAAAGTGAAATATGCCAAGGATGACGACTGCGAAAAAGGTGCATGGATGACATTGCAGTTGATGATGGTCATAGATTGAGTTGAGGGGGGGGGGGGGGGGCGAAGTCAAGGCTTGAATAGGCTGGTCAGTGGGCGATGGGGGGATTAAGTGATTAATTAGTAATATGACACTTATAGAGAATGCCTTGAATAGCAATATACAGTCATCAAGTGTGTATAGTCTAAGAAGCTTTTTTTTTCAGACCAACTTAAATATACTCTTAGTTTTCCATGCATTTATTTTGGATAAGAGACATTATAGACTGTGCCTGATTAACTCTTTGTTTCCTTACCCATGTTTTGTATGTTGAATGATGCATATGTGTATTTTTTAATTTACTGCAGGAGTGATTATTGTTTTGTGTTTAATTTTTGGCATTTTTATTAAGGTAAAAGGAGTCCTATCCAAGCTTTATTTGCCCAACGATTTGAGCATAATTGTGTGTGAAGGCAGAAACTACCCACCGTTCCTTCACATAGTTGAAATGAGTTCTTTCTCGTAGTTTAGATTACTCTGTCTTGATTTTGGCATTTCTGTTCTAAAAAAGAATTTAAAAAAGATTTTCAAAGACATACAGGAGCTATGAAGTCTTTTTTAGGAATGTCTTTCTCTTTTTGAATCTAACATACATGTATTCTGACAATTTTGAAGTTTGTTTTCCTTTCTTGTTTTCTTGTTTTTTAAAGTTTTTTAATGATTTTTTTGGATATCTTAGTGCATGTGTATTTTGTTATAAATGTAATCTTTTCCTAACAGGGTTAACAGAGATAACTAAAGTTATAATGCAACTCCAAAATGTCCAACAAGCAACCTTATTCCTCAGCAGGATTGATGTAAACTTTCAGGTCATCTAACATAGTAGTACAAATCCTGACACTGGTCAACCTGCAGTTGGATCAATGTCAGCTGGTCCTGACGTGGGTACTTCTTGATCATGTAAAGCCAGTTGTTGAATAGTCTTCTGTATCATCACCAGCAATTTTGAATATTTTGTAACAATAGCAAGAGCATTCTCAGCTCTTCACTTTAACATGATTTTGTTGGACATGCATTTTGGTTAGCATTTAGGTGACTGTACTGGCACTTCTATTGTTATCAATTGTACAAGATTTGTTCCAGAGATGTAACTCCCGAGTAGATCAGGCAGCCCTCCATTCATTAGCCTTTTTGAGATATGGTGGACACAAGAGGAGGGCACTACTTGCAGTAGGTAAAATGTTGCTAATTGGAAAAGACTTGACCTAACCTGAATGCCGCCCTTTCTGATATCTCAAACAAAGCGAATACCTCAAAGCCATATCTCAAATAAAGCTAATTATGTTGGGTTTCGGCACTTTTTTTCCTTTCTACTATGGCAGTACTTCCAATAGGGTTAAAAGTGGACATTTAACCAGGATAATTTATCAAAGTGTTCATAATACTAAGGTCATTAAGGCCACACAAACTAGTTGTCATTTAGACGCAACTTAATTCCACCCCCGAAGCTATCTCTGGAGCTAGCCAGGCCAATTCTAGCCCCGAAAATTGTGGGGCTAGCTCCACTTTCAGCAGGGCTTCTTTTTACAACCTAGCTCCACGGTTATTTGTCGTTTGGACGCAACTGACCTAGCTCCAACGTGACTCATTGAGTCATTGTTAAGTTGGTCTAATTCACCATGCCACCCATGAACATATATTACGTGACCTATTTGGTGACCTTTTGACTCCACTGTAACGCCAGCTCCGGAGTTTAGCCATCATTGTATGAACATGAGCACATTTATGATTTTATCACTAGCTCCATAGAACCCTCATTCGTTGAGTTCATTAATTGGAAAAGAGCTAGCTCAAAAGCTGCCCTCCATCCGAACATACCCCAAAATATCAATGTATTCAGAATGTTAGACATTAACATTCCCAAATCTTGGATTTGTAGACAACATGGAGGACTTGATGATGAAAAATGACAGAATAATCTCATATACCAGCTCACAATAGGCAGAGTTTAAGTACTAAAGTAATACCATTTTTTTTAACATAATTTGAAATGTTAAACTTCATGTACTCTTATTTCTCAAAAGTAAAGAATTGTCTCCTCTAACTCTTCAGTCTACAGTTGACATCCACTTATTATTGTTCATTCAGAATTCTGATATTAGCCCGGTTTTGTACTTAACCTATTCAAAGGAAAATCAAGTACTTAAATGAAATTGTAACACCTCACCCACAGATTCTGTATCTGTATCTTGATTGGCCGAGAGCGAGTCACCTGGCAAAAGTACTATACCCGTAGCAGCCAAAGAACTATACATGTAGCAACCAAAGTACTATGCATACTGGTGTGCACGTTAAAAGCTGTGTTCAAACATTTCGTTCTGAAAAGTGCAAATAATTTTTCAACTAATTTCGTATTCAAATAGAAGTACATATTGTAATTAGATTACATTACAATTGTAATTAGATTACATTAATCAGTTATTGCTTAAAATCAAGCAGAATCTTTGGGAGAGGTGTTATAAAACAAATATTAACTGCTTTTTCTTGTGGTGTAGTATAACTAGCCTCCCTCGGTGATCCATGGAGCATTCTATTTTCCCTCGGCTTCGCCTCGAAACAAAAAGAATACTTCATGGATCACCTTGGTTGGCTAGTTTTATTATACCACAAGTTAAAGCAGTTAATATTGGTATACTATAAGCTTTCCAGAATTGTACAATTTTGTAGCTTTAAAATATGCTGTTTTTGATACTGCAAACTGTTTTTTACCATAAAGTCATATTATGAACAACTAAACTAAAACACGTATTAACTGCAGATACAGAATATTGTGGGAAAATGGTCTATCATAACAATGATGTTGAAAACTTTTGTAGATGTATCACATTCATTCAGTTAAGTTGTTGAACTAATTATGCAGCTTGCTTAATTTGTAAGTAGAATAGTGGTTGTCACTCATTAGCATGACTGAAAATGAACAAACCAACCACCATATCCTTATAGGGGACAGTCTTTTACACTTCAGTACTTTATAGAATTCATCAAATGCTTTGCTTGCCAAAGATTGTTTTTTCCAAACCGCATGTACATTATTGCTACTTAGGCAGAATGCAGGAGGCCTCTTAGTACTACTAGAAACTGAGCTGCTGGTTGGGCTCCAACTCAACAGATTTTCGGTGGATTTCTAAAAGAAGTTGGGTTGTACATGGATTTTATTTTCTTATTTAACTCGGTGTTAATATAAAGCTGCCTTAAAATAATGCTGAGGAATGTCCCACACTTCACATAATGCCAGCGCAATTCTACATATCCTGTATGCATTTAAAAGATACAATATACAAGAAGTATACTCAATTTCATGAGGTTGAACAGAAATGGTTACAATTCAGGTAAATCTCATTTCTAATAATAATAATAATTTGGGTGGGTAATCATCCTTACTCGCAGCTGAAAAGCTGAATTACGAATGGCGCGGCTACAACGTGATCGGGCCGCTGGCACGTAAAGGCGCCTATGGCTGCCGGCCACATCGACCCATATATGACCACGGAGCACAGCCTGAGATCAAAAGTGTTTGATATCTCCCATTAGTTGCATGTTAAATTGTACATAAGAATAATGGCCAAAACTTCCTCTGTTATCTAAAAATGAAAGAGTGGGACATTTCTCTGCCAAACAATTCTCTTCCAAGAACAGTTTGTTGTGTAGGATCTTATATGGTTGAATTCTGTTTAGGGATTAGCCATTCTAAAATGACTTCCTACAAAATGTAGTTATGGTTGATGTAAGTCGTTGAAATACTGAAGACTATTTTCTTGATGCCTAAATTGAATTAATCATGCCCCTTTTTGGCAACTGCAGATGACGTGTTTATTATTTGTTTTTCTTCTTCTTCAAGTTTTTAAATACTTAACACAAGAAGCCTGCATTTGTATATTACAAGAATAAAAGAAGCCATAATCCATTTGGGATGTTTGTAGAGTTATGTTTTTATGTGTCTATTGTCATCACAAGTATCACTCACAAATATACAAATAGAATTTAAGGAAACGTCTGAACTTTCCCTCTGTACTTGTCATCAGTGACCTTGTCAGGCTTTCAAAGCAAAAAGTGCTGTGGCATTAAGACTTGATCAATTGCTTTATCCGTTTGATTTGAAATAAATAATAATAATTATATTCTAAAATAAATTGCTTCCAAAGATGGACAAAGCATACTTTTTGTAATGGTTTCTACTGTCCAAGCAATGTTATCACAATGAAGGATATTTTTTTTTCAAT